CCCTGCAGGGCACATACATTGAGGTATTCCTGAGCAGACGCATCAATACTCAGCGGCGTAATGTTAATATTTATGTCTCCTATTACAATTATATTTTTGAAGGATGAGAGGTTCTGTAATGCGTCATTCAGAGAGTTATTAAAGTTTTGCGTGTTTTTAAACGACGGGGGTCGGTATAATGCTAGTATTGCAATCTCTGATCCGATTTTAAGTAATAGTCGGTTGCAGTCGTGCATATTTGGTTCTTCTACAGATATATTAAGGTGGTTCCTTGCATAAACTACTACACCATCGTTTTGATTGTAATTTTTATTACTGCTATATGTGTTATATCCAGGTATTTGTGGGATATTATATTGTTTAGCAAGCCAACATTCGGTTAATACCATTATATCACAGTTTATATCTAATCGATGCAAAAGTGTAGAAAAGCTATCAAAATTCTTAAAGATACTGCGGATATTTTGTGTTAGTATAGTTAGTGGGTTTTCGATGCTATAGAGATATTGTTTGCAGTTTTCAACTTCACACATCTTAGAGTCAGACACAGAGAATTGGTCTAAATCGCTAATGATATTATTTATCATAGTTGATATAAATCTAGGAATAGGACTAAGAATACAATTAGTGTTAGCGCTCTTAGGCGCCTTCATAGTTTACTGAGTTAATATACCTTTTTTCGGCCATAGTCTTTGCAGGGCATTCGGTGGCACCGGTCATGTGGCCAGCTGGCTTTTTGAAATGCAGGCAGGTTGCACATTTGGGTTCATTAGACTTCTTTGTGCAGTCCTTGATGGCGTGTCCTTGTTCTCCGCAGTGGCCGCAGGTGAAGGATGTTTGACGGCATGATTTGATAGCATGTCCGTACTGCTGCACTTAAAGCACCTGGTCACTAAAGTGAAGTCTCGAACAGGGCACGATGACCAGTTGATGAAGACTCTTTCCTGTGATATTAGGGCCTTGCGTATAGACGGGGTTACTTCGATCACGTAGTTGCATGTCTCAGCGTCTCTCCTTCCTGATTTATGACTTAATCTCGTCATGGACAAGAAAGTCTCTAAATTGCAGTCCTTGATTTTATCTGCTAAATTTTGGTGGTACAGGCTTGTTAAGGCTTCGTTGTCGGGCATACTGCATGGTACTCCGATAATGACGACCCTGGGGTTTCTTTTTTTCGGCTCATCGCATATTAGGCCTGAGCTTGATAGTTGCGCAGAATGTCTCAGCTTTTCAATATCGCTCTGCGACTCGGTATTGATGATAACACCACCGTTTTTCGTTTTATGTAGGCCTCGTACCTGCAGTTTCAACTCCTCAGGGCGTATAAGTTTTTGGACCAGTGATTTTGTTTCTTCACTCGTTTTCATTTTGTCGCTAGGGTATATGGCGACTGAGCTCACTTTTGCGGGCTGAATAAATTTATTAGCTCCTTTTTTGACCATGTCGGCAAATGAGTGTTCTTGGGCAGGCTTGGAGGTCTCAGTAATCTTCTGTTTAAGGTCTTGGAGTTGATGAGAGAGGTCAATCTGATATTCCAGGTCACAAAGGCGTTGGTGGTCTACCAAAGCTCTACATTTTAGACCTTGGTATAGCACTGCCATCTGTGACGAAGCACTGTGTGCCTAGCACGAATAACTATCGCATTCGTAACGTAATAGTATCGAGACGTCGAAACGTCATGTGACGAAAACGGAATGTCGCAGCACAAAGCCTATCGTATCGTCTTTCGAGAGCTCGAATCAAATTCGTTAGTGACGTCATGCTGATGTAAAATAGAGAAGCACCCAAGTGAACGAATTGAATGACTTAAGAATTCGTCTGAAAACTAAACCATTTTTAAAATATTTTTCTATCTTTCTCTGCACGATTAAGGCTTTGATAATTTGTTAAGATATATTGGTTAAGCAAAAAAAGGTCAAGAACGGAGTTTACGGGTACGTAAAGTGACATAATCGTATTATTACAACCAAAAAAGGTACTAGTTAGTTTTGTAATTTCATAAAATATTTTACAATTTCCGAACGTCGTGTTTGACAGAGGTCAAATGCCACTATGTCAAGTTATTTGTTTGTTTAAACTTTTACTATGATTTCTATTTTAATTAATATAAAAGAACTCAATACTAAAGCAAAATAAGGGTGGACTCAATGGAAAGTATCGTAAGTATAAATTTCAACATAAAATACGCGCGAAAAACAATATAAGAGTATTGTTTTTCGTAGTCGGGTTATTATTGTTTTGAATAGTTTCTCTTTATTGTGTTTGACCTAATATGCATTGTAATGTCTATTCCAGGATTCCAAGAGCTTGTCTAAGCCAGCTTTTCGACACCATGAACCACTTCTTTTCCATTAGAGAATGAATAGACTAGCAAAGAAGACGAAACTTGAACTGACGAAATTGTTCTTGCAACTTGATAATAAAACAAGTGATGATGCTAGGAAGTGTGAGATAATGAAATATACCTAATGGTGCTGACATGGTGCTCCTATACCTGAGTTTCGTCATGTGGAATACAATGAGACAAATAAACATGCTTATACATAGTATTAGATTTTATTTTTTTATTGAATCTCTTTGTACAATAAAATTTGTCTTTATATACATACAGTCTATCTCATTGGAAATATAGTAACATATTGACAGTCTATTTGCTAAAATTAAATTATATTGATTTGTGATAAAGTGATGTCTTGAAACTAAAGTTGCATAAACCTAGTTCAAGCAAATCGCTACAAATATTAGTACATGTCCTTTGGTTTTTTTTGTCAATACTTTTAAGCAAAATAATGTATTGTTATTATAATTAATAATCAATCATAATTAAACATTAATATTGTAAATTGCAAAACTAACAATACATTTGTAAAATATAATTGTAAGTGGAGTCTTATGAAATAAATTATTCTTATTCTAATAAAGTATTGAGTATTTATTCTACTTATTCTGTCTTCTAACACATTCCTTTTATCCTACCCTGCAAAATGCATGTTCAAAGAAAGAGAAGTATATGAGATAATTATCTAGCGATTGTGGTTTGGGCACATTGAAAATATATCTCCTCTATCTAATCTATCCTATATAATGTATGTTGAAAGAAAGATAAGTATATGAGGCATATAAAAGTTTATAGTGCTTGTGGTTTGGGCATATCAAAATATAAGGCTAAAATTTGTAACACAACTAAGCTGTTATTGCTTTTAGCACAATTTTCGGTGGCACAGTGGAGTATGCTCCTTGCACAAGCAACACCATCGGTTTTTCATCGTCCAAAAGCTTTGTCAATAGTTGTCCATCTACGACGACCAACATAACAACAAGTGGCATTCTCCGCATCATTATTGCCATGTTTCAGGAAAACATTGATGTTGATGAATTATTTCATACGCACACTACTTGTTTTGGTTCATTTTAATTTATAATTGTCATAAAATCTTAATTTTAAAATGTTTCGAAACCTTTCTCACCGGCAAATTCTAAGTGACAAATGTTTTGACAGTTTTCGATAGCCAGCCTTCGAAATTTACGTTACCGTTTGTCAAAAGATCGTTCGTGCTTCCAATTTGTGTCAAAATGTTCTAAGTTTCGATAGCAACACGATACGATTACTATACGATAGTTGTCAAAATCATTCGTGCTTGCGGCATTTAGTTCCTTTTACGCACGGTAGGGGCGCTGTACAAATCCCATAGAAAATGCTTTCGATGTCGATACGAATACTTTCTCGATAGTTTTCGTGCTAGCCACACTGATGACCTTCCGGGATAGGGCATTTACTCGCAACTTTTGTTCCGAGTTCATCTTGCCAGCGTCGACAAGACTGCATATCTCGGTGAGGTTTTGGTCGATGGCAGCTACCCATTTTTGCAGTTCCGGGGTTTGTATGACTTCTGGGCCATCGGTACTTCGGGGTGTTGACTGTATGATAGGAGCGTTCATCGATACAGGTGTACCAGGTGGCGAGCGTGCAACCCTGCTACTCTGAGCAAAAGGGCTGTTTTCCATGTTGCAGTGTGTTTAATTTTCAATCGTACAGCATTGTCAATTTACACATTACACAATAGGTATTAATGTTCAGTTGTTATTCTAGGTCACGATTTTTGCAAATGATTATTTAACATTAATTGCACTAATAAATTGTTCAATACGTCCGATCTAAACGATGGCTCGTCAATCAATTACATTTCTGGTTGAGTAGGAACTATGAAGAATGATAAGAGTAAGAATAAGTAAGTAGGTATCTCATCATCAAGTACCTACAAATTATATTATGCTAGAAAAAGTGACTAGCTTACCTTTCCTGTTCAATAGGTACCTAATCTGAACAGAGACAGTTCTGGAATCGATTAATTATTAAGACACCCAAACACACAGCAATACGTTTTTCTACGATTATCAGACATTTTTTATTTCATTGAACAGTGCCGAAAAGCCGTGAAGCGCGCGCGAACCTCGTACAGTGTCAGCCCTGCCTGGCGCACTGAGAAACGGGTCGAGATTTTGTTAAAGTGTGCGTGCGTCGACGCATAGATACTATGGCGCACACATATAAGCCGCGCGCGGAGCATTTGTATGAAGATAACCTACTTTGTTCTTTATACTATGGCCGTGTGTACCACTAACCGATGAAAGCAGAGATTTATAACCGACTTTAAAAAAAGGTTTTCATTTTGACTTGTATGACTCTGTTTTGAGTAAGTTGGTAAACGAACAGACGGATCACCTGATGGTAAGCAATCGGTGCCGCCCATGGACACCCGAAAGCGTTACAAGTGCGTTACCGGCCTTTTGGGGATTAGAAATTTAAGCAATGTTATAAATTCAGGGATTGGGACATGTGTTGTTGAGCCTCCGGTAACCTCACTCACCCGCAAGTGTTGTTTCACGTCGGTTTTCTGCTCGGCCGTGGTATCACTCCGCTCTCCCACTTTAAATGTGTATCGCTGATTTTATCATTATTCGATGTTTCTCATTATTTTAATATCTTTCTTGAATTTCAGAACACATCATTGAAATTGATATAAGTGATAATATAGAAGATGTAAAAGAAGGTATGTATGGAACATACATTTGACACTACTCTTCCCGCGGGTGTCGTATACCCAACTAAGGAACTTTAATTTGCTTTAATACCTTTTGTCAGCTTTTCCTGCGATGTATAAAAAGTAACCTATGTGTTGTTCCAATAAGTAATCTTAGACCTTTGTGACCTTGTGTGTGTCATGGTGGCCCGGAGGTTTAAGACGCCCACTTCTCATGCATGAGGGTGCGGGTTCGAAACCTACCAACGGCAAGTACCAATGTGACTTTTTCCGAGTTATATGTACTTTCTAAGATTATTTAGACACCACTGACAAACGGTGAAGGAAAAACATCGTGAGGAAACCTGGACTTATAATTTCTAATTATAAGTTTGAAATCGCCAACCCGCATTGAGCTAGCGTGGTGATTAATGCTCTAACCTTCTCCGTGTAAGAAGAGGCTTTGCTCAGCAGTGGGCATTTATAGGCTGTTGATGATGATGAGACCTTTGTGCCAAATTTCATCCCAATCCCTTCAGCTGTTTTGGCGTGATTGAGTAACAAACATACAGACAGAAATACAAACTTTCGCATTTATAATATTAGTAAGATTATTGTTCAATTTCACTAAAACAAGAAATGCTTAAAAGTAACATGTTCTCAATCTAAGTGACCGACGAGATTGGATAGAAAATTTTAAAACATTCGACACGTATTTTTTCTTTTCTTACAAAATTAAATACTTTCGACGATATATTGATTTGAAATATCGAGTGACGTCACAGCGTGCCACATTTTGTAGCACGTTATGACGTAACGACCTCCCACTCCTAAACTTAGCGCCATTTTATAAAGTATTGCAACTTAATACGAGAAAATAAAAAAATACGTGTCTTATATTTTTTCATTATCTAACTGACGGACTAATTAGATTTTTAATTTTGATACCCTGGAAACTACCCAATTATTATGTTTTTGGCTTACTCACCTAATATTTGACGAGTTTACATTAACATAATAATAATTAATTTTGTATGTTTCACGAAACTTACATTATACTAGCGGACCCAACAGACGCTGTCCTGCATATCCACTTGAATGTATAAACAAAAATTCATTCAAATTAGTTCAGCCGTTTAGGATAACTAGCCTAGACACCGACTGCAGCGCCATCTGCCGGGCTGATTTGTGAATCTAAACCATTCCCAGATCCCCTTGAACACACACAAACAATTTCATTAAAATCGGTCCAGTCGTTTGAGAGAAGTTCAGTGACATACACACTCACAGAAGAATTATATGTACCTATAAAGATACATATGAAAGAAAATTGTTCAATAAAAGGCGTAATTTATATGTTTTTTTACAGAGAAACCTGAAAATATTACTGAAGTACCTGTAATTAATTCTTTAGAAGATATTAACACAATAGAAGTTAAAGATAAGACTACAGTAAAAGATAAAACATTAGTCAAAAAACAGAAATCTACAAATGAAAAAGACGCTGGCAGAAAATTAAAAAATACAAATCAAAAAGATAGTGAGTTTTACTTTATATATTATACTAAAATTTTGCTGCAGCTTTTGCCCACTTTTTTACAGGATACGCAGACGGATCACTTGATGGTAAGCAATCGGCGCCATCCATAGAGGGTATCCAAGGCAACACCAGAACAGTTATAAATGTTTTGCCGCCCCTTTCGAGGTTAGGGATTGGGGATTGGGAGATTGGAAACTGATTTGGAGGTTGAGGCCATCCCCAATCTCCAAATCTTGGGGATGGGAGGAGAGAGAAGGGAGGATTGGGTCCTCGTGTGAGTGAGGTACCTAATTTTCTGTGAGGAAGTAGTATCACTTCGCTCCGGTCGCAGGTGAGGTCTGTTCGTGCCAAAACATGCTCTTGTTACGTACGGCGCGTCGCGTTCTGCGCGCGCCTCAAAGAGCCATCAGACCACCACGGATGGGTCCCAACAGGGCTGATGCCGATACAGAGTCGTGGAAAACCTAACGGGTAACCGGGGCTCCGGCTCGACGTGCAGGAGAAGGAACGGGGTGGTGTTTAGTCAGTAAGAGTCTGACACTCCCTCCCGCCTCACCCAGGCGGGAGCAGTCATTCGATGATTTTCCCCCAAAAAAAAATGCTCTGATTACGCTTCTGATATTACTAACGACTCCATATACTAATTTATTTATTTTCTTTCCAGTTATAACAATACAGAAACCATACATAATTCAAGAAACAATAGGAAATGTTTCTAAATACTCCTGCAAACAATGTGGGGCGTCTTTTAACACTATAAAACTTATCGGCGACCATTTGGTCACAGACCATCGGGCCATATTCAAGTGTGAATACTGCCCAAAAGTTCTAAATTCATATAAAATATTACTCAATCATTTAAATAGACACGAAAAGAGACGAAAAGAGAAGTTTAATAAACAATGCACTCGATGCCCGAGAATATTTTCGACTAAAGACAGTTTCGTTGAACACATGCAATTACACTTGTCTCACAATAGATACCCAATGTGTGACGTGTGTAAAAAGAGATTCAAAAACAAGAGAATCTTGTCTATACATTTCAATCTACATTTGGGGACTAATAAGAAAGTTCTTTGCCATATTTGCGGTTGGGGGTTTAACGATGCGACAAATTTGAGAGCTCATGTTGATACTGTACACTTTAAACTTAAACCATTTGTCTGTAAACTGTGCAATAAGGCGTACGCAACGAAACGGCCATATAGGGAGCATATGACCAGACATCGAAGTAAAGAAGAAACATTCTCCTGTAGTACATGTAGTTGGGAATCGACCAACGAAAAGAAGGCTCAAGTTCATATCTTGAAGCACACAAATAAGTTCATGTGTAAAATATGTCCAAAAATTTTTGACGATCCCAAATCTAGGCGAAAGCATGTCTTTGATTACCATGCTTCGAAATTTACTTGCACCATTTGTGGGGTGGATCTATCAAGCCAATATTGTCTGGATAGGCATTTAGAGATCCACAACGGTATCAAAAAGTTCGAATGTAAGATCTGCGGTATGAAATTCTCACAGAGATCAGGTCTAAATAGGCATAATATGCGACTGCATAATCCGGAGTCGAATGTACAAGACCATATTGTGAAAACTAAGTGTGAGATTTGCAAACGTGGTTTCAAAAATATTGAAGTGCATCTAGAGAGACATCGTGTAAGGAACTTTAAATGCGAGATATGTGGTCAGTCGTACGCCAGTAATAGCACTTTGAACCGCCATAAAACGCAAAAACACTTCGGAAGGCGTTTTTATTGCGAAGTTTGTAGTAAAAAGTATTTACAGAAGTCCAAATTGAATACGCATATGATTAAGGTACATGGGGTTAAGGTTGAAAAAAAACTGCCCAGTATAACCGAAAAGAAAGAGACAGAAAGTACAAATTCTAGTTAAAAAACTCGCGAGGAAAGAGATTTTTTTTTATACCACGACGTTGGCAAAAAACCACACGGCCCACCTGGTGGCAAGCGGTTACCGTGGCCTATGTACGCCTGCAACACTTGGGGCATTACATGCGTCTTGCCGACCCTTATGAACCTATTCACTCCCCTCTTGAAGAACCTCATGTTGTAGCCCACTGGGAAAACCACGGCAGTGAGGTCATTCCACAATCGGAGGGTCCGTGGAAGAAAATTCCTCAGAAACCGAACTGTACGGGACCATTTTGGCTCCAATGAGTTTGTTTGTTATGGTGTTCTCAAAATTCTGCTCAAATGGGGGCTTGGAAAGTAATGGAAAAGAAACCAGCCTAAAATAAAGACTGGATTTTGAAACCTAGATCGTTAATCGTAAGCACCTTTAAAGCGTAGCTCGGGATATTAAGACGTTACTCCCCACAAAAAAATATCACCAATGTGGGTCATTCAGGACTTTGAATTTCCCCAACTCGTTTATAGGCGAGAAAAAGTAAGCGTGGATCTAAGGATAGCGAACAGAGATAGTTCATGTCTAACCAGAACCAGGATCTGAATGTTTAAAGAACCATCAGACCACAGATGGGGCCCAGGGCTCGATAGGGTCGATGCCCGACATATGCAGGGATAAAGTGCAATAAGTTACCTTGGCTCCGGCTCTATGCAGGAGTAGGAACGGGGTGGTTTTTAGTCAGTAAGAGTCTGACACTCTCTCTCCCCTCACCCAGGGCGGGAGGGGTCATTGGATGTGATAAGCCGATCTCCCCCCTCCTCAAAATGGTGATAATTGTATACAGAGGTAGAATTTAATGAAGTTAATATTTTTTTGTAATTTTAGTATTATATTTACAATATGTAAATATATAATATATTATTTCAAGCGTGTCTTTACATTGTTCTCACATATACGTACAATATTGGATAATGTATCAGAGAGATTGTAAAACATAATGTTTTAAAAAGAGTAACGAATGGAGTTTCTTGCTCGTTCTTTTGCATTCGAATCTACATTTTGGAATGAGCACCTAGCTTCACCTAGCTTCACTGACGGACTGACTGACAGACTATTATTTATTTTGTATTTGTTGACGTTTCAAAAGTACCAAATTGTGGTTTAATTGAAATAAATGCTTTGACTTTGAAAAAAAAAGCTTTGACTGTTTATTTATTTATACTTTATTGCACACAGAAAAAAAAATTGTAGACATCGACTATATAGAAATCTGTGTCATCATAACATCTACCTGCATGCCGAATTTCAATCTGATCGGTGTAAAACTGACATAGTTTCATACAAACTTTCATCCCGTTTCATTTTACCCTTTTAAGAAAGGGTTTTGATTATTTCTATCGTAGTGTTTACGTCATAACATCTACCTGCACTCGATCGGTGTAAAACTGACCAAGTTTCATATAAACTTTCATCCCCTATTTTACCCCATGGCGGTGGAAATAATCAAAATCCTTTTTAGGGGATGCTTACGTCATAACATCTACCTGTATGCCGAATTTCAACCCGATCGGTATAAAACTGACCAGGTTTTTCATCCCCTTTCATTTTACCCCATGGGGGTGGAAATAATAAAATCCTAATGCCTCAAAAGAGAGGTCGACAAGTAATAAGTGTCGGGTTCGATTCCCGGATCACCTAAATTATTTACATAAGATTTAATTTATTGATTTTCGGAAATTATCACAAGACTCGAATACTTTCTTGAGCAAGCGGCTGACGTCACTTTTGGGAATTTATTTTTTTATGGTATAAGTCGGAAAACGAGCTGACGGATCACCTGATGGTTAGCCATCGGCGTCGTCACGGAGAACCTAATGGGTTACCGGGGCTCCGGCTCGATGTGCAGAAGAAGGAACGGGATGGTGTTTAGTCAGTAAGAGTCTGACACTCCCTTCCGCCTCACCCAGGCGGGAGCAGTCATTCGATGATTTTCCCAACTTAAAAAAAAGCCATCGGCGTCGCTCATGGATCCGCAATACAAGAGGAGTTTCAAGAGGTGCCGGCGAGATTCCCGCATCAGATAATGTACCTACCCATTGAGGTTTTTGATATAATAAATACCAACATACATAGCTGCCTCGTTGGCCGAGTGGTCGCAACTGCGACTGCCGGACAAGGGGTCTCGGGTTCGATTCCCGGGTTCGGCAAGTATTATGGGTAAAATCTCAGTAGTAGCACAAAGGCTGGAAATGTGTCCGGTATATGGCAATAGATTCACCCCCCATTACATGGGACTCGTAACATAAATAGTAAAAAGTGTATGTTACATTGTACAGTGGCATTAAGTGCCATAGTGTGCACCTCTGCCTAACCCTTCGGGGTGAAAAGACGTTGTTATGTTCTACATACATAACCTAACGCCTGCCTCCCATAGCAGGACATATACTGCGGCTCGATCGGAGTGATACCACGGCCTCACAGAAAACCGACGTGAAGCAACGCTTGCGTCGTGTTTCGTCGTGTGAGTGAGGTTACCGGAGGCCCAATTACCCTCCCCTTCCCTAATCTCCCCAATTCCTGATTCCCAAACGATCCTCAAACTCCTAATGCCCAAAAGGCCGGTAACGCACTTGTAACGCCTCTGGTGTTCCAGGTGTCCATGGGCGACGCCGATTGCTTGCCATCAGGTGATCCGTCTGCTCGTTTACCGGCTAACGCCATAAAAAAAAATTCTTACGACACCCGGACAAGTGGTGAAAAATATTCTACTTGGCCATCACTACACGACGTACGTAGATACTAAATCCTTATCCTTACTATCCTTACTAGTCCTTACTAATATTATAAATAAATACTAATATAAATCGGAAAGTGAGTTTGTTTGTTTGGTTGTTTGTTTCACTTTCACGCCGTAACTACTAAACCGATTGCTTTGAATTTTTGCAGACGTAAAGTTAGATGTCCGGATTAAATAATAGGGTACTTTTTATCCCGGAAAAATTCGATATTCCCGAGGGAAAACAAAAGTATTGGTATAGATGGCGCTGTGTGTATTGATATATGTCACATAGGTTAATTTTATCCTTTTAAACGCGAGCAAAGCCGCGGGTAAAAGCTAGTAGATATAATATTGGCATGTTAATAACTATTGCAACGCAATTTATGTATGCAGTGACCCATTATATTCAAGGTCGCTAGATGTTGTATGATAAAATATTATTACTCATTCACATGTCATGGTATCTTTTACCGAGTGGTGTTAGAGTAGATTATATTTGTTACCACCCCTACTCTTCCCGCGGGTGTGGTAAACCCAAGGATGCACTAGGGAATAAATGTGCTACTACATGTCATCATCATCATATCAGCCACAGGACGTTCACTGCTGAACATAGGCCTCCCCCAATGACTTCCAGATAGGCCGGTTGGAAACGACCTGCATCCAGCAGCTCCCTGCGACCTTGATCAGGGGGTCTGTCCACCTTGCGGATGGACGTCCTACGCTACACTTGCCGGTACGTGGCCTCCACTCGAGAACCTTTCTACCCCAGCGGCCGTCGGTTTTTCGCGCTATGTGCCCAGCCCACTGCCACTTCAAAGTTCAACTTGCTAATCCACTGGGCTATATCAGCAACCTTTGTTCGTTTGCAGATTTCCTCGTTTTTTTCCAACACTACATGTATCGGCGACATATCGTGCGACTTCACGAAGCTTCGCCTGACATATCTAGAAAGAAAGAAAAATCATTTATTCTTGCGCAGAACACACATAACTAAAAAATGAATTATAATATAAAGAAAGGGTAAACCAAGGTAGGTATAATAGAAATATTAGAGATACAGGTAATATAAATTAAAAATACCAAGGTTCAAAGTTATAAGCTATTCTATAGAAAAATGAAAAATGAAGTCTTGTCCATGGTCCACAGACAGAGTTATTTGTTGCTGAAATAATAGGTAGGTACTTGATGCAAGTAAATAACATTACCCTAATATTGTGCGTCATGTATGCGTGCGCAAAAACAGGATATGCTCAGTAATTTCTGCGACTTAAACCTCAAGAAGTTAGCGTCGCAGCGCTGATTTTCAGCATATCTGACGACATCGCGCGACTTATGTCCGTAAAAACGTCATTCGAAGTCGTGCGACTTCGCGAAACTTCGTCGGATGTTTCTGCCAATATCACGAAGTTTTGTTTCACTAGGTAGTCTCGTGTCCCGCGCTGTTGCCAGACATGTCGTGCAAGTACGGCAACGTCGCACTACTTTACTCGATGTACCTATAGGTATCGCGCGATGTTGCCAGACATGTCGACTGAAGTTCGGTAGTGGGCTGTCACCCGCCGCTGATGTTGATGATAGTCAAGACTGCCTGCACGTATGTCGCAGCGGTTGTGCGATCAAACCCAAAGCCAAAATCAAAATCAAAATCATTTATTTCAATTAGACCAGAAACGTACTTTTCAACGACAACAAACAAATTAAAAGTGAAGCTATTTGCTCATTCCAAGGTGTAGTTTCCTATGGAGAAACTCCAGAAGTTAATCTTTTTAAATCAAGTTCACAATACAATTCTCTAGTTACATAGTTTTGTTGGAGAACAATGTAACACCAAAATTCAGCCAAAGAGGTCGAAAAAAGAAATAACCTTAAGGACAATAAAATCATACACTCTGGATCTGCTAGTTTCATTTCCCGTATGGAACTTGTTCCATTCTCTCTTGTCTATCATCATAACATACTTTTCCTTCTTTTGAATTATTATTATTCTGCGTTTAATCTTCATCTCGCCTGGTGGTGCACGATGATGCGGCCTACGATTCTACCTCGAACCTATTTACTCGGGCCTTGAAGACACCCAGGTTATATCTGTTTCTTTTATATAATTTCTCACCCATTCATATTAGCTATTATGTTAAGCATAATTTTAATTAACTGCATACCATGGACTTTTAACTTACTAACGTGACTCATTTGACTACTTACATTTAAATGGTAGGTAGAAAAGTAAACATGATGGGTACCTATT